ACTGGACCTCAAACCCTTTAGACTTTTTCTGGTGGGGATATTTCTAAGATAAAGTCAATGCTACAAAAGCCAGCAACAATCACTGAAGTGAAAGTTTCCATAGAGCAAGAATGCAGCCAAATACATATCGAAATGTTGATGGCTGCTTGTGATTTTATTGCGAAGAATTGTCTGGATCATAACGGACATCAATTTGAAGAGATGCGATGACAAAATCTTAAGAGCATGCATTTATAATAAATACCGTCTTCATATGCTGTGGCAGACATAGTGAACCAGAACTGAAGTCAAATGGCAGAAATGGTGAATATGACTTGCCTTATTCTTGATGAAAGAGAGTTTGTCTTTGGCATGTCGGACTTCGATCTGGGAGAAGGTGAGTCCATCGTTCTGTCAAGAGACCCTTCTTTGCTGTCCTACAAGAAACTGGTTCATTAGCAACTGTATATGTTATTAGCATGGTTGGATGGAATAGAAGAGGCATATCTTGGTGTTAGTGCTATATTCTGAAGTGCCCGTATGTCTAGTAAGCCTATCATCCGGGTGAGTGATTGGTAATTCCCCATTATAAGTAGACCATTGCAGAGATGAGAGAGGTGTTTGTCAGGGTACATCATACTGTACATACAGTTGTGACAAAAGAAACGAACAATGAAAAATACCAAGAAACCGGTGTAAAGGGAAGAAACATCCAATCTGAAATTGTGTCCCAAACCAGAATTGCTAATTTCTTTCTGCCACATATGCATTATTTAAATTATATATATTTTGGTTCGTGTTGCTTGAATTATTACTTGAGAAATACAAAAATAGATCAAACCTGGCCTGAACAAAGGGAAGATGTTATGTATTAAGAAAGAAAGACTATTAGATTGGTTTGCTCTTGTCTGTCTGGGAGTCAAACTCTGGAATTTTCTTACATTTGTACAGATGTGTATATGTAAGTATTTATTATGCGTAGTCTAGCTCAGGGATCTAGTTATGTCACATTCAAGGAAGATCAAATTCACTATACAGTAGATCTGCTAGACAAGCTCATTAAACTATTATCTACTTCTAAGCAGCATCCAAGGTGTACGTATGTGTGCATATACACAGATGCACATATACGAGCGAGATATCGTCACACTGTTAGAATGAATACTAACTGTATTTCCTAGATTATGTCAGACTACGAGTATTACAGATTTTAGAAGACAGAGAGAATCTGTTGTGAAGCCAGGAAGACATGATGTAGATTACAATATTATCAATAAAACTAACACAAAACAGTTAAACTGAATAAATTTGCACCCACAAAAACTGGAGTATGGGGCTGGCTGAAAACAGGAACCAACACAATATAGTTAAGTCACTCAAAATTTGTCAGATGACCCTTAACAAAATAAAAAAAAGAAAAAGAAATAAAAAGCAAGTCAGATTTAAGCATTCTTGAAATTTGTCAGTAAAATGATTAGAAACATTGGGTACTACCAGAAAACTATAGAAATAAAGGTAAGATAGAAAAGACTGTCCAGATTGTGAGTGATGAAAGTTTAAAGATTTGTTGGCATGTGACTTTCATTGATGACAACCAGACACTTCTGGTTTCAAACAACAAATGAATGATAAAATAATGAAAATGCAATTAAAATTGCAGTGATCATTTTCTTCAGAATCAGTTGACTTATCGATTTCTTTTTTTATGGTTTATCAACCCTTCGTAAGTTATTTAACATTGAAACATATATTTGGATTGTAAGATTGGAATATTAACCATTTTTTACCGACAAATGAACATAAAGACAGAGTGAAGTGTGTATGTAAATGAAAAAAATTCGACAAAGTGTCTAAGAACTTAAAGAAAGCAAGATCACAAGATGATAATTAAAGTGGTGTCTGGTACCCTACCCTAGAATGATGGTTAACAAGCTAGTCTTGATGAGTATAGCAGAATATGTTCAAACCTCACTATACCTGTGTTCTCTTTCAATTGTGATTGATTTGTTTTTTATGGCTTAGCAAACCTTTGTTGGTTATTTAAAGCCGAATCATTTTGTCCTGTGAGAATCATTTTTTTGCAAGTGTATATTGCATTAAGAATTTTTTTGAGAATAATGATTTTTCCAGATACAAAACCTACTTTTTAACCGATAGCTGAGGGGAATTCATATCTTTCCCAGGGGTATTTGCATGTAAGTATTCCCTGATTTCTCATTCTGGGCTGCTATTCATTACATCACCTGTCCATCTCTTTCAACAGAAACAAGTAATACACAAAAAAGAAAATTTGTCTTGAATGGGGGGGGGGGGGGCAAGGAGGAGGAGAAAAAAAAAAAAAAAAACAGATGAAATTCATGTAACATGCAATATACGTTCCAGCAATTATTTTTCTTGATATCCCCTGCTGAAATGGTGATTGGTGTGTTCTTATATGGCATTAAATGTAGGCATTTTTTTGATACTCCTTATAAGGCTTCTGGATGAAAAGAATTCTCATCTTGTGGAATTGATCTCTTCCTGACTTTAAAGGTTTTGTCTATCACACTATGACAGGAACCCAAAGTAATTTCTTTATTAAGAACACAATCATCATTATTAGCAATGACAAAATCCTAGGATGAAATTAATTCTTTTATTCCTTGTTGAAAGAAACTTGGGATTCTTGAAAAAGAATTCTGATTATGCTGAATTGATCTCTTCCTGACTTTTAAAGATTTTACCTATCACACTATAGCAGGAAAGGAAAATAATTTACTTGTCAAGAACAATCATCTCGTTAGCAATAACAAAAGTTCATTATGAAACTCCCATATGAGATTCAATTTTTCCTCCAATATTAAGATTGCATAAAACTGTAATAAATGCACAAAAAGAAATTTGGTTTGTGTTGGACCAAATGGAGATCTTGAATTAAGTTTTAGCAATGTCTATATACCATTCAGTAATTTTTTTCTATTGTCCCTGCTAAACTTTGAAGAAGGTAGACCTATAAAAGAGAGAACCTTGCCTTGGCAATCTTGAGATTTTATATTTTCATCATTCATAAAAATCAGTGTTTTTGTTGATTTAGTTATAAACCCGAGAGAAAGAAAAGCTGTATTCATGGGATGAAGACAAAAAAAAGCACAGATTTTAGATACAAGTTGATTTCTGAACATTTTTTAAACCTTCAAAAAGAGATTTTTTTGAAAAAAAAAAAAGGGGAGGGGGAGAAGAAAAATATGAATTAAAAAAAATCATTTATAACTTTCTATTTATAGAAAATCATGTTAAATGTAAATTGAGTCAAAATTTCAACTCGAAATTTCTTTCTTTTATGTGACTTCATATTTCCAAAACACTATTTTTGTAAAGAAAATTACTTTTTTTTTTTCGTTTAACATTAGTCTTTGTAGAAAGCAAAAGCTGAGAATTTTCAATTAATTTGTTCAACTAATCTCATCTTGTTTTGTTGACACAGTTCATTCTCCAGCCACGTTTTTTTGTCTGTAACACAGCCAATAAACCAAAAACAGGATCTATACATGGACAAAAATCCTGCTTAAAGAAGGCGGAGAATAAACCAGACAGAATATTAAAAATGAAACAAGATAAAGAGAGATCCCACCATAAGTCATAATCCATCCTTCTTTTATATGCTTTATGTATCTCCAATTAAATATAGTTTGGGGAATAGTCCCTAGTTATATGATTATGCTCTTATTTAAACCACTTAAATCATTGTATATGTGGCTAAAACAAAACAAAAATGAACACTTACTTCAAACCCAGTACAAAATAGAAACAAGAGAGTGACAATATCCCATTTAAATTTCCCTTAGTCAAACTAAAATATGAAAGGGAACTGAAAAGTTCTCAGTCCAACCCATTTCTCAAAATCTGAGTAAATGACCAAACAGCAAAATTTTTTTTTTGAGAAATCCTTTCCGAGTCTGTCTGAGACTTTTTAGCATTTTGTCATGACATCAATTATTCAGGTTATACATTAAATGAAGATTTGGCTTTGCGGTCAGTTTTTAATTCTAAAAATACGTTTTTTTTTTTTTTATTTAAACTTGTCTAGATTTGGTGAAAGAGAAGTCAGAACTTAATTCTGATAAGTTGGGCAATTTTGTTTTTCATTTGTTTTGAAATATTAAATTTTATTTTATCAATAAATAAACAGAAGACAAAAATGTTAAAAATGTATTATATTTTTCCCCTTACCATCAAAACAAAATTTCACTCCCAGATACTTTTTTTTTTTTGACAAAGTAAAGGCACAAAAAACTTAAACAGTGGTAACCAGATTTTTTCACAGCCACATTTGTTAAAATCACTTCATAAGCCTGCATGAATAATTGTGACAGTCATGGCCATAGATTATTTTTAAACATTTACACCACACTACCTTGCTTTTAACGATATTTGTTTCCAAATATATCCAAGAGTAAGAGGGAGACAGGGAATGAAGAAATGAATTTGCCACAACAGCTGACATTCAGATCAATTCATCTAACTACAAGAAAATGTACTTATTTAGAAACTTAAATAGAAAAAATAAATTCATAGCTTTGTAGTCAAGAATTTTTAATCTTTATCAAGAATTCTTAATTAAAAAAAAAAAAAAAAAATGTAAAACATACACACACAAAATGCAACCAGATCATTAAATCTGACAGTATATTAAATTAAAAATTAGAATTGTGAAAAAATATAACAATTTGATGACATACTAGATAATGGCAAGTAATAATTTAAATGAGATTATCAAATTATCTCCCTTGATTAATTTCTCCTGAGTCAAAGCTCCCTCCATTTTTTTGTTTGCCACAGGCAATGGGTTAATAATAAAAAAAAAAAAAAAAAAAAAAATGTATTTTGTTGTGCTACTGAATAGTGTGGCGTGTCCTTGCAATATGAAGTCAAATAATTTAAAAAAAAATTAAACCAGATTAAAAAAAAGGAAAGAAAAAAAAAAAAAAATAAGAAAAGAAGGTAATTGTAATTGCTGACAGTGAAAAAGAGTAGCAGTTAGATCAGTAGAGGATGTCATAATGTCCTGGTCGATACAAAAGTGTGATAGCCGGTTTGGAACACTCCGGAAAGTCATGATGGTTGACCAGGCCACCTTCACCACGGTCCATGTATTCCACTCGAACAGGGATCCCAACTGCCGAGGTCAAGGCCGTGATGTGGATATGGTCACACTCTTTATTCATTGGCTCCACCTCCTGCATATTATATATAAAAAAAAGAAAAAATTATTAGCAAATTCTTAAAAAAAATACAAGTTTGACTGAGATTTGGCTCAACAAAATTTTTAAAATTAGCAGAATCCATGAAAATTTAATGATTATCCTAATTGAATTTTTTGACGAGGAATAATTCTTAAGTTAGTGATTGAATAAGTTCATTGAATTGAATTGTTAAATATTTGAGTTTAACAAATTTAACAAAATATTACAATGACAATCATAAGTACTAACAGGATATGTAAATTACACAGATTTACTAATAAACTTTTTAATACTGCACTTTATTTTTCAACCCATGACCATTCCCAGATCGTTATAAGAAAAGTGACAGTCTCTCTTAAAAAACTGAAATGTCCTCAACAGATCATAAGACATGATTTAGCCCCTCATTACAAACTGCCTGCCTTTATCTAAGATGTACCGCCTTCAATCTCTCTGTCACAATATTTTTATCTCTTCATGTCACTCTCTATCTCTGTTTCTCTCTCAGACATTCAACACAGTCTGCCACAAATTTACAAAGATAGATAAAAGAAAAAGAAAATATTTTAATTTCGAAAGGTCTCTTACCATTTGGGGACAAACTTGTCAGGTAAATTCAGGTAACTTGCGAGACGAAAATAAATGTAATACAAGTCGAAAGATGTTTTTTTAAAGCGTGTTATTTACAGCTACAAAATTTTGGAGCGTGCAGTGTCTCAGTCTTTTGACTTGTATTACATTTAGTTTTGTCTCAGAAGTTACCTGAAAAGGAAATATAATATCCATGCCTGAAGATGGTAATAAAAATTACTGAAAGTATTAGCATATATATGGAACATCTAATCCATTTTACACCTTTTAAAAACAATGAACATGTCATTCAATGAGCAGTTAGTAAGTTAATGGTTTATTAAATCTGTTAGGGAAGTGAATTCGCCATTAATTACATTAACTTTACTGATTTATTCTTTTGTATGACTACTTCTTTGTAATATTAATTATACTGTGCCATTTTATATCTCTATCTATAAAAGGCAGGATATGTGTGTGTGTAATGAATGCATGGACACAATTTTCAACAGATTTGCATCAAAATTTACATGCACATGCTCCAAGTTAGCAGGAAGGCCAAGACCGACTTTGCATTTCCCAACTCCCATCGATAGTGGAAATAATCAATTTTATCATGCTTCTACCACAGTTTTCATGTAGTTTGCGGCCATTTTGTACTGGCCAGAGTGAGAGCCAATAGCTGGCTGCCACGAATAGGCAGTAAGATTCTATTGGCCAGTGTGAGAGCCAACAGCTGACTGACACAAATGTTAACTAGCATGCAAAAAAAAAAAAAAAAAAAAATAAAAAAATTCGATAACTTGGTTGGGTGGAAAAAAGTATTTGTTGTTAACATTCTTTTTTCATTCGGTTTTTCCAGTTACAAGTCCTTTTTTAAAGCTGATCGTTTTGTGTTCATTTTGTTTAGTTCTTTTTTCGTAACAGATTTAATGTTTAGTATAGAGCTTAGAAAAAAGTTGCAGTGTGAGAGGCAAGAAGTAAGACATGTATCAACATCAGCATGGCAAAGGGCACTCCTTTAAAGGCAAGGAAGGTCAAAAATATTTTAAGTCAAGTGATAGCGATTGCTGTATGAGTCGTACGATTTTTGAATCAAGCACGGCAATGCTGCTAGTATATATATATATATATATATATATATATATATATATATATATATATATATATATATATATATATATGATAAAAGTAATAAATCTGTTGGTAAATAATCAAAGTAGATCCTAGTAATATAAAATATTAAAAGTGATCTGCAAAAAGAGCTGAATGTATTTATTATTACAGAGAAAATAGTACACAATAAAATTCAAAATTGCCTCACATGGGGGATAAACAAAAAATTTATCAGTCTTATTCAACCCTGGTATAGACCGAGTTTGTGTTGGAAATATATATGATGATGGGCTCTCCTATCACTTTAACATATTGGGGTCCAACAGCATGTTTTGCCTTTGATGACATTTAAGGCTCACATGTCATTTCACGTACAGGGAGAGAAACACCACCCCTTGTGAAGGTTGCAGAAATGTTAGAGTGGTGTTTAGTAATACAGAGATGTTCAATTTGAAACTTCTTCAAAGTTGTTATGCATATATTCCTCCACTTGGCATGATCAGAAGTCACCTCCTTAAAGGGTGACAGCATCCCAAAGAAAGATATTTTATAAACGAAATGTCAGAAATTCAAACATTTTACATTAAAGAAAAGCTTCTGAAATTGTTTTCAACCAATTACATATATTACTGACTAGAATTTACTTTGATTTTCCTAAATGTTTAATTACTTTGAATCTGCCGATGTCTTGAGAGAGATGTCTACTAGAAAAAGATTACATGAAAAAAAAAAAATTATCTTCACCTCATGTATTTAGAGTAAATGGTCTTTATGCAAAGATTATCAAAAAACAAATAATTTCTAAACACAGACAATAATTGACTGATAAAGATGGCTTTCAAAATGTACAATTACACACAGATATATATGAAGTTCATTAAAAGAGATAAGTGTAATGAATCATTTTCACAAAGTTTATTTATTCCATATTACAATTTAGAATAAAAATTCAAAAATAAAAATATTCACAAACCTGACAACAAAATTCTTTAATGTCTCTATGCCCTTCAAGAAAATTGGCAAAGAATTCTCCATTCCGTTGCAGATAGCATGTTACAAGTAATCTGTAAAGGGATAAAAGACTCTTTAATATAAGAACAAAGATGATAGTTTTAAAAATGACTTGAATTTAATACAAACACACGTCTCTTTCCCCTCTTTCTTTTATTGGTCACTGTACTCAAAACATGTTGTTCAGTATCCAAGATCTATCTAAAAAGTGTAAAACTGTATTGCTCAGAAACTAAGTGAAATTAAGGGTTGATTTGTAGGGTCAAATCAAAGTTGTGAGTGACATGTAGGGAAAGACAACAGTTATGATTCAGATATCCAAAAGTTTTTGTTGCAATCAATCGGATACAAATACATTGACCGGAAGCAAGTGGTGTACAGTCTATACAGAGACGAGTTCATTAGAACTGTTTCTGCAGTCTAGCATTGTGCAACTAAATGAATGAAAAGGTCATACAGATAAAAGCAGCACATTTCATCAGGCAAGATCTGTCAAGTTGTCATTCCTTCTTAAAAGGAACAGAACTGACCTTGAAAACTAAAAAAAATCCTGCTGGAAAATTTGCACTTAAATGGAAAAAAAAATGGGAGAATATATACAAAACTATGAGTAATTGAAACGTGTTAACATTTTCTGGCATGGCCTATTATATAATCCATGCTCACAGAGTGTTAAAGAAATTTTACAAGTGTCTTTGGAATTTATTCAGTTCAGGTCTTTATTTACTGCTCATACAATCATCAATATTAATTGGCAGTCTGAAGGAAAATTCATGTGTTAGGAATTTAAGCAGTGTCAATCAATATTAATTTTGTTTAAAATTTCTTTCATCTTATTTCAATAGCTTTTTATTGCAACACTCAGATTGTTATTCTATAGGCCTGTTGTATAAACCTGATTGGATCTTAAATAAAGACTAAAATCTGAAATTACTTTCGTTATCCTTATCCTTCCCATGACAGTGCCATTTTGAATTTAGTTTGCAAGAAAACTTGAATTCCCATACTATATATCAAAATAAAATACAATAAGATAATTTAAAATAGTAATAAAAAAGTGTCAGGCAAAAATTTAAAAATAATAATAATAATTAAAAAAAAAAAAACGGGAAAGAGAAGACAATCTATTTTATGACCAGAGGTAATCTAACCAGGATTGTGTAAGGAATCAGATAGGAAGAGAAAATTACACAAGGACGACTGCTTAATGTATTTTCTTTAATCAAAGCCATGTGGTTATAGTCGCATCTCTGGAAAACTAGCCACTAAATATAGGATGCTAATAGTAATAATGAAGAGTGTACCGAGCCAGAGTGTTGGGATAAAAAACAACAAGAACGAATCAAACTAGTAATAAAATAATAGTAATAATGAAGAGTGTATTGATTGAAACTGGTGTTCAAAAAGCAAAAACATAAAGAGTCCAAATTGCAATAAACTATTAATAATGCTAAGTGTTGCTTTTTTTTCCATCAATCAAATAACTGAAAACCTAGAACAGATTTCATAAGTTTATATTCATAATATAGATTATTCTATTACTTAACCCAATTTTCATTCATTTTACAATCTAAAAATAATGTTTTGAAATGGAACATGTTTAATTTGATCATCACTGACAGTTATTTGGGACATACTGCTTGAAACAATTTAATAAATATGTTATAGTATATTGGTCAGCTATATGTTGAGTTTAATCCAAGATGTATGCTCAATAAATATATGACATTGCATCAAACAGAACATTTTGGGACTTATAACTGCAAGGAATTTTCATGTTTGTGCCAATAAATAAGATGAAAATGAGCCTATGTCTTTGTCACCTCCTCTGAAGCAAAAACCAATTGTTATATAGATAGGTTTTGGTTTGGATGGGAGAGAAAAAAAAATCCAATCTATATAACAATGATCTGATATTTGTCTGTCTGTTACAGATACATCTATTAACAAAAAGTATTCATAATACAAAGAGTTGTTTTGTGACAAATTAGCAATGGCACACTGTGCAATTTCTATTTGTGCAATAGAAATAAAATATTCTCACTTGAATTATAAAGCAATTTTTTACAAATTTTTTCATTTGAAGAGTAAAGCCATTTTCAACACAATCAGGAAATGGATTTCCAAGTAATCATTAAGTATAAATTGACAAAAAAGTCAAAGAGATATAACTCTAAATATATTAACTACTAATTACATAGTAATTTCCCCTGAATTGTCCTCACTCCTCTCCATCAGCCATAATGGCATACCAGTGATAATGATAGAGTTAGCATTTGCAAATACAAATTTTAAATAAATAAGAAGTTACTGGACATAGGCTGAGACTATAAAAGGCAGCATTTAAACAAATAAAACAGAAAAAGAAAAATTTCCCACTCACCTCCAAGTCACTATCAGATAATCTGAAACTCCTTGGTCATTGAAAGTATCAAAAAGCTCCTCTGGTGTGCATGAGCTTTCCACACGAGATAAGACATCAAGAAACTAGTAAAAGAAAAAGAATTTAAAAAAAAATTTATGTGAGTTAAGAGTTACCAAATTTAAATTTGAACAGAGATTGCTCAAGTCGACATTATACCATTGCCCTTGGGAATGATATGAATCACTGATTTCCTGCACTGTCCAGCTGTTACATACGTAGACAAAATGTTTTATCATTGCTATGTCACAAGTGTTGACAGAGAAGGTAATGAGTGAACAAACACTTGAGTAAATCACTCTCCCATAACTATATCCCTGCCCAGATAATTAAAAAAAAAACAAAAAAAAAACTGATATGCACCAATTGTATTTTTGTGGATATATGATAAAAATATAGTTTAAGGTATAGTATATTTTTTATGGGTAAAAGTGTCCAATATCAGTGATAGATGTATGTAAATATAAAAATAGACACTAATGTCAATACTGAGCAGTAACAGTCTGTTTCATGGTTGAATGCAATCTTCAGGCCATATATATATCTCCAAGTATAGGATTGGTGTATACGGAATAAATTCCAATAACCAACAAATACTATTCTTAAAAGAGTAGAGCAAATATAATTATTTATTTGAAAATTATAAACATAAATGTTATAAAATCACTACAAAAGTAGCCATTTTGTTTCAACACTTCTGGTATCTTATAAGACACCAGAAGTGTTGAAACAAAATGGCTATTTTTGTAGTGATTTTAATCATATATTTTTCATTTCAACCTTTGGAAGTAAAGTCTGATGATCCAGAGCCTTTTAAAAAAAGGGCTGTGGTGAAATAATTTATTACATGGAACCTTAAAGTGGTCTGTTTTTATTCAAATTTATTTGCTCTGAATTTACATTGAGCTCTCTGGATATCATCCTCTTTGGGTCTATATATATATATATATATATATATATATATATATATATATATATATATATATATACTATCCTAAAAGAGAAAACAATTCATTAAGATGAAAATGTTTAATTGATAGACCATACATAGCAGACCTTCTATTATCACAATGTGGGATATTTAATAATGAAAGTGATGGAAACAAAAAGGAAAAGAATCTAAATGAAATCAGATTATTTTTGCAATGCCAGTTTGTAGGAGAGACTTTGTAAATCACAGATACAATAATAGTAACACTTTCGAACAAAACCCAGTCAGACACCGTCAATTTCCACACACACACATATATATATATATTTCCTTTACCCATCATGTGATCTAATTATTTTAAGATGAGGCTGACTGTGTTCGCTCTCTGGCGATCCATGTTCAAAACCAAGTGTCAGTAGCAACACTTTATTCCTATATGACACCTCCCCTTTGAGATGACGACTTTTGGAGTGTATATTTCTTCAGCTTCAGTTCAATATTTAGAAATTCTGTTGCTATTCTTTTTCTCTTACCTTAAAACTTTGGTTCAACAATTTCTGATAGCATAGGTAAATCAAACGTGTCATACAAAATTTCCATAGATACCTCTTTTCAGGGACTTTTTAATTCAGTGAATCTGCATTTTAACTGATTAAAGTGTTGCTTATGTTCCCACGTTTGTCCCCGTACCATACATGTCATTTTGCCAATTTGTTTTTTTTTTTTTTGTTTTTTTAACGCCATCTTCACAGAATTTTTTTCCATGTTGATACATTATAAAAAAATACCTTATCTCTGGGTTTGAAGTATTTACTTATATTGTTATTTCTTTATGCTCTTGCCTTATGTTCTGGTAATAATTTATTAAAAACGGACTTAATCTTCCTGGCTGACATCACCTCTGCAGGTGATGTTCCAGACACAGTGTTTGGGTTTGATATTATTGTGAAAACGCTCAAAAATTGTTGTAGCATTAATTCATCTGACACCTCTCCCTCTGACTTTCAAATAGTCTATTTTTGAGATCACACCCAATTTTTCTAGTCTATCTAATTCCTTATTAATTGGTTCTAAAGCTGCAAAATGTACACTCCTTTTTGGCTTAAATGTCAGTGTTACATTCTCTTTTAATTCAAATTTAGCTTTAGTTTTTGTGCATGACCCTAGACCTTCCGAGAAAACTTCTGGAAAACTCTTTTTCAATTCATTCTTTAATTTTTCAGTTGCTGTATTAGCACCAGAGGTAAGAATATTTATTTTGTTGCAAAAAGAGTTTATTGGAAGGTCCCAAAGATCAAATCCAGTTGGTTCCAAATAAATTAGCAGTATTCTTTAATATAAATTCTTTAATATAAATTCTTTAATATAAATTCTTTAATATAAATTCTTTAATATAAATTCTTTAATATAAATTCTTTAATATAAATTCTTTAATATAAATTAGCAGTATTCTTTAATATAAACACCATTGCTTTCTTGGTCTTACCAACAAAAGAAATGTTACAGGTGAATTCACCTAAGAAGTTCAATCTCTTTCATGAAACTCTATGCACAACTTTATTAGACATCAATAAACTGGGTTTACCCATTTTTCTCCATGTCTGTTCATTTATGGTAGGGATACGAGATCCTGTATCCAGCTGTAATTTTATTTTTACATTATTAATGTCCACAAAAACACAAATTTCCTCTTTTGAGAAGTTTCTAACTCGGTTAGAAGACATGTTCGAAGTTAATTATTTTCCTTTTATGTTTATCATATATTTATCATGTTCACACACGTTTTATTTTTCCTCCATTTTTTCTATCTGCAACAAGTACTTTTGTGACCTAGCCTCCCATATTTGTAGCATTTTTTGTTCTTGAAAAAAATTATCTGTCTATATTTCTGAGATGAGGTATTATGTACACTATTTACATTATTCGGGCTATTGTCCTAATCTTTGTTGCCGTATTTATTACGTTTCGGTCCTGTCACTAGATCTAACTGCTGAAGACATTAGGTTTATAATACCCAGAAATTCATCCACAGATGTCCTCAAGGACAAATGGCACAGTGTATAAAGGCGTTAATTAGATCCAGGACTCAAAGAGTATGAGTTCAATACCTGGTTAAGGCAGTGGAGAACTTGGAGAGGGGAATTAACAGGAGATAACTGATAACTGACATCCATTAAACATGGCACGTGGAACTGGAACAGTCTACCCCAGTGAGTGAAATAAAAGGTTCAGTTCGACATTCCAAGTACCTGAAGAAGGCCAGAGCGTACAATGGCCGAAATGTTGTAATAAATATGGCAACAAAGGTCCGAATAATGTAAATAGAGTAAAAAACAATTACTTTTGAAATGCTTACTTCCACAACTGTGTCAAGTATTAGGTATTGAGAGGGGGTTTATAGTCTTTTTTAACTGTTCTGTTCGGAATTGAAAAATGTGTATAGTCTTAGATTGTTGGACACTTTTTACTTGTAAAATGTCTCTTTCCTTAATCCTTGTGGTACTGAGTTTTAGATTTACAATTAGATTTACACTTCTGCTATTTTCTGGAGAGGTAATTTGGGATCCATTTCTAATTTAGCAAGTATCCAAGATCTTATTTCCATGTCTTTATTGAAAGTTAAACCTTGTATGAATATTAGGCATTTAAAAAAATCTGAAGGTAATTCATTTAACTTGAACTTCTCACATTCTCTATTCATGACTCTTGCAAAAGTGACAAAATCTTCATCGTCGCACTTTACTAAGACATTGCCATTGTGTATTAAATAATAAGCTCCTATCAAAGTTTTTTGATAGTGTTATAACAGTTCCATCAAAATTTATCTCACCTGTTTTTTGTCTGTTAAAAATAAATGAATTAGCTTTGTCTCTGTTAAAAATAAATGAATTAGCTTTGTCTCTGTTAAAAATAAATGAATTAGCTTTGTCTCTGTTTAAAAATAAATGAATTAGCTTTGTCTCTGTTAAAAATAAATGAATTAGCTTTGTCTCTGTTAAAAATAAATGAATTAGTTTTGTCTCTGTTAAAATAAATGAATTAGCTTTTGTCTCTGTTAAAATAAATGAATTAGCTTTGTCTCTGTTAAAAATAAATGAATTAGCCTTGTCTCTGTTAAAAATAAATGAATTAGCTTTGTCTCTGTTAAAAATAAATGAATTAGCTTTGTCTCTGTTAAAAATAAATGAATTAGCTTTGTCTCTGTTAAAAATAAATGAATTAGCTTTGTCTCTGTTAAAAATAAATGAATTAGCTTTGTCTCTGTTATGAACAGTCAGAAATGCTCTTATATGTCATGTTTTAACTAATTTCGTTTTTGAGAATACAATTTTCCCAATATTTAGGCTGTCTTTGGTCAAATGATTCTATTAGTATTATTATTCTTTTACTTCAAGACTACCTGTATGACATTACATTCCTAATGATCTTTCCTTTGTTTCAAGCCTGCATCTTCAGTTATACAATGTTAAAATTAACTTCTGGCCTAATAGCACACAAGATGGAAAAGTTCTGACCAATTTGGTATGTTCATAACTTGGTTACTCATTGAACTACCAAGATCAATTTGGTACTTTTTCTTTTTGTTAAGCTCTCTACATCTTTAGTGAAGGTTTTTAGATATATAGAAAATAAAATTTTAGTTTGAGAAACCTAATTATAAATGTGTTTCATTGCTTCCAGGTTAGTCACATAATATTTTTAAATGACAATAGAATTGTAGTTATATTAAAAAAAACACAGCACATATTGAATACTGCCTGAGGGAAGCCCAGTCGGCAATGGCCAAAATTGTCTGTCACTTTGTTTTTGATTAAACTGGCCCAATTAAATGATTTAGTAGCTTAAGTGAAAGAAATGATTAGAATGTTTTGCTTTTGTAAGATTTCAATTGAATAAATAAATGCGCTGATTAATTAATTGGCCAATCACTTAACATTTCTGAACATCCATAGTTATACTGTACCTATGGACTATAATGGGTATGTCCGAATTCTCATAAATACAGTGGAATATACTGTCTGAGGGGAGGGGGGGGATTCACCATTAGTTCACCACTAGCAGTGGATTACTTACTACACACTGCTAGCAAATCTTGTATGTTGTCAATGTTATAAAGATTACCATTCCATTTCCAATGTTCATTTGGTTATTCTTATTCAGTAACCTGTTCCTAGTTTACAACACATACATTTGCGTTTCACTTAGCAAGAATAAAATGATAAGCATTAAATAATAAATTTACATTTGAATGGAAATTCTAAATACTTAACATTTAGAAAAATGCTCGCTATCTAAATGTTCGAACTCCTACACATAGACATATATAAAATTGTTTTAAAGTTTGCTGTATTTATGGAGGAAGCATTCTTGTTGTGAGTCCCAATAAAAATAAAATATAAAAATAATATATATAAAAAAAAAAAAAAAAAAAGAATTCAAATTAAAATAAGGCATTTGTGCTTTCCTTTAAAACCCTTATCTCTTTATATTTCTCTCTCAACTAACGAGAAGGCAACCCTCAAAAATAAAGAGGAAGAAGAAGAAAAGACTGAGCCTGGCTGCAAAATGGTGGAAATTTGCAAGACTAAATCTACTAATTTGTGACTGAAAACTACCAAAAATCAGGGAGGCTCTATGCATAACTTCTGCTATATAATAAAAATGAAAAAGAAAGGAACATTAGAAAATAAAATAGTTTTGGCCAATCAAAAAAAAAAAAAAAAAAAAAACAAACTTTTGATGTTAGCCGAAACCAAAAAATTTATTTGTAAACTGCTATAATCATAAACAGTTTTGAAAAACTTTGTCAAAGATTATAAGGTGCAATCCCTAGTAAACAAATAATTTAAACAAAAATTTATTTACACATTTTAAAACTCATGCCTAAAAATTTATGGTGAACTTCAATAATCCTTTATGGAGATTATTATATCCAAAGTGTGACAATTCTGGGAATAATCACAGCATGTCACTGACATAATGCGCTCACCTGAATGTGTTTTAACTGCTTTCTTGAGATGAAGACTAAAGTGTCATTTGTTGCCAAGCAGTAGAGGAAATTATAAGTGTTCATGTTATACTTTTGTCAGAAAATGAGTGAAAGGAATCTTGAGCAGCAGATTAATATAAAGTTTTTATGGTATGGATTGTATTAACTTTCCTTATATAGTTTTACTTTTGATTATTTATGAAGCAGAATTATTATTATTTCTTCTTCTTCATCATGTACTGTGTCCTCTCAGTACATAGACAATTTCCTTTCTCTTGTAGATGTGAAAATAGAATTAACTGGATAGACAAATATCTTACATTTCTCATGCAGGAAATATAGCCAATTGTAATTTAAAAATTAGTTAAATATTACCAATTTATTTATTTATTTTTTTTGCTGGAATAGGTAAAATAGTACATAAATTATTAATAACATGGCATAAATGCAGGGTCATTTTGAAGTAATGGACTTTTAAGTATTTATTTTCATGGTATGGATGTTAAATTATAAATTTATTTAAAATGTTGAAATTTTTTTTTTGGTCAACATCAGTAGGGAAACAGTGACATTCCAACATTCCAAAATTTTATCAAACAAATCAAGGAGAAATTTTCAGAATAGGTGATGTGTGTAAAAGCATTGTATTATAATGTTTAGAAGATTACAGTGTAGTAAAAATATGAATAACTTGTTTGGTTGTGCAAGTTTGCAACCCAAGCTTCAATCCATCTGGAATTTGAGAAGGTAAAAAAAAAAAAAAGAAGCTTCTACTGATATTGTTCAGACTATTTCAACTGTTGATTCATTCTTTTGTTTGTTGTGATCATGCTTCAGCCAATCCATTCTACAGCTATAACCTGTCGACTGAATGGTCGCAGCTGCTGCTGCTTGTTCATGTTTTGATCTGTTGTTTCCTGTCCTGGCTCTACCAAAAACGTATTGTTACTTGGTAGTGTTTTTGATTTTCACCACCATTGCACGTTGACACAAGCAAGCTGGGAGGTAATCAGCTTCCATGGGATTTTGTAGAGATTTCAGGTCTGAAATTCTCACAGCTGTGGAATTTCAAGGCACAAACCAACAAATTCTGTTGACATCCAACAATGGTTTGGTTGTTTGTTTGTTTCATTTTACAGTATATCAACCTCAATGGGTTATTTAATGCCGACAACATTTTTGTTGCTGGTAATATTTTTTTCCTTCCTAAATCTATTTTTGGTAATATTTTTTCTTCAAAAATGTATTGCTGGCAATAATTTTTTTTTACAAAAAGTATTTCTTGTATTAAAATCTATTTTTACACTTTCATAGTGTTTTGAGTCAGGTTGTGGGGTCAACTATTTGCCCATAGCTGGGACCCTAATAGGTACTACCAGGCTGGACCTGGGAACACCAGCAATTAAGAGGTGGTTCCACACTCCCCAAAACCTCCTGATCAGAGGCCTTGCTGTTCGACACAGTTTATCATCTTACCCAGGATGTGGATGTAGTTTATCGTCATACCCAGAATGGATCCAACAATGGGTTTAATAACAAATTGAAGAATTTCAAAGTGAATAAAGGAGTAAAGAATTATTAATCTATGTAGCCTGGCTGATTCAAAATAAATGGAGACCGCAAAGCAACAGCCAGAAAAGTAAGGATTAAAACCAAACTTAACCTATCTTGTCCCCTGTCTCTATGGTCTGTCTCTAGTTAGGAGCTGGTTTATTTAAGAATTTTGCAAACCTCTGGAATTGATTTATTGTATGTTTCTTGATAAGATAACATGACATTTCTTTGTTTCAAAAACATATGGCTGCTTATATTTTTCAAATGTTCAAGGCCCAAGAACCATTTAAGGTAGAGTCTTACTGAAGGAGTTTGTTGTATGAGTGGTAAGAGGACATGTAGGAAAGATAACAATTAAGCCTAGATTTGAACACGTCAAGATTGTAGTGGTTGGGGAAGCATCCTCTTGGGAGCTGGTTCCACAGAATAGCGGTTTGTGGGAAGAAGCTGTTTGAGTGAAACTTACTTCTGACCAATGGAATGTGGATTGTGTTCATTCCCAAAGCCCCCTAAATTAGACTTGGTCAGTTATAAACTTGTTTAGTGTTTGATAGTATTTTAAATAAACATTCTTTGGAAGATGGGAATTTAAGACAACCATATATCTTATGTTGCTCTGGGTAGGTTGGAGAAGATTTAGTCTTATTAAATCTTAATGAATTTTACTTGGTTTATTTCAGGTTCAAATCTCCTAGAATCTTCTCCAAACCCATTTTATGATTTCTAATTAGTATTGTTAATTTGTTCTTTCTTTTCTTTTTTTTTCTCAATGTTTAATTAGTTTCATCTGAGTTTTCTCACAGTCTAATCTTATTTCCTGCTTCAAATCATCATTAGGCATTATCAATTAAAAGGTTGAACCAGGGCTACCCCCCCCCTTTGTTATATCCCTCGTGGAAAAAAGCGTTGAATCAAGGTTACCACCCTGTTATATGGTCTTCTTCAGGTGTACAAGACTAGAAAAGTGAAGGGGGGGAATCCTTTTTCCTTTTCTTGTTAGTGCAAATTAGAAAAGTGTAGCTCACAAGAAAAAAAAAACACCCCAAGATGCCAGCAAATATATAGACTGGATCAATATAGTGTAGATTTCTTTCCCTAACAAGAAAATTGTCTGAGAGCAACTCCCATTTATAAATTACAGAAGAACTCAATTTAAACATATTGCCGAGTGGTTTAGCCTAACATTCTGGTCAAATTAGTGTATTGTCACCATTTTTTTCTGTTGTCTATCAGCCTAAAATTTTTTGGTTTGAAAGGACAAAAATAGAAACTGTCTACTTCCATACAGCTTGTACTCAAACAAACAGAAAAAAATGAGATCAAGAGTGTGAATAATTAAATGATAAAGACGTCTCAAATATCACAAAAACCTACTAGCTCTGTGAATTGCAACATTTGTATGCCCATGCCATACACTCAGTGTAACATCTATTGTGGTACAGAAATCATATAATCTACTGTGGGGGGAAAAAAATAGTTAATATTTTTCTTTAATCAGAAACTGAAATTGGAAAATCAAACTTTAAGAAAACAGCTTACCGTGTCAAAAAAATCATCCAGTGTGAATTGAGGATATCCTAGAGCCACCAAATCAGTCTTGGATTGATTAACTACTTCTTTGAATCTGCAAAAAGGAAGAAATTATTTCAAAATTACAAGTGCCAGACCAATTTTTGGCAGCTTGTACACACACACACACATCATCCACATTATATTAATAAATGTATATTAATAAATAACAAATGTATAACAAGTCATGGGTATTTAGAGAGGTTTTGTATGTTATCTGTTGTAATGAAGCATACAGATACATAAAAGTAACAAATGAATCCTGGCCTGATTTCAAAAGTCCAAACTAGAGTTAAGTACACAAATGACATATCCATTATGTTAGTGTTCTGATCTCTTGTATGCCATGAACCTGCAGATACTAATTAAGGCAAAGTACACAAATACGACACTGATCCTAGGCAAATATGCTAAGCCATACATAAATGATCCATCATTTTTGACAGGTACTATGTTTATTTATACAATAGGATCTTACCATCTGCGGGTTACAAATTTTAGCTTAACTTATTTTAAGTTGACACAGTGTCTAAAACATCTATTAAACTGAATTGCTTGACAAAGATATTACAAAAGAGTAAAAAAAAAAATAAAAAAATCTATATATGATAGGATAAAGAACAAGTAACATATTTCACTTTATTAAAGTTTCATCAGGTCAAAATCTTGATCACTGATGAAGCTTTAATAAAGTAAAATGTTAGATTAAGATCTGTTTCCTACTTGTTCCTTATTTTATCATTTTGTTGGATTCTATCCATACTCTCTCTCTTTATATATATATATATATATATATATATATATATATATATATATATATATATATATAGAGAGAGAGAGAGAGAGAGAGAGAGATAGATAGATATTATTACACATATTATTATATATATTATTACCATAAAGGACCACAAACCAGCTAATACAACTACAAGGATAATAAACCCAACAAGACCCGAGATCGGCAAAATAAGTAAAAAAATCCTAGAAAGAGTTAATCAACAAATTAAAGAAAACATTGGATTGAAACTTTGGATTAATACCAAAGAAGTAACAAATTGGTTTACTGATATCAAAGATAAAACAAATTGTACACTAATGCAGTTTGATATTGAAAATTACTATTAATCAATATCAAAAGAACTGTTCATGATTGTGTTGGACTTTGCTACACAGACATAACAGAAGAAAAGAGCATTATTATAAATGTGAAAAAATCCATACTAATACACAAAGGTGAGCAATGGATAAAAAATTCTTATGACCATTTTGACATCACAATGGGATCACTAGACTCAAGCTGAGTCTTCTTGACCTTATAGGTTTTTTATATTATACAATCTCACAGCATATCATGAAATTAATATAACTGACATTGGGTTATACAGAGACGATGGATATGGTTATAAAGAACTTTACAAACTTTAAAATTGATAAAATTAGAAAGATATTATATAGAGAATTTAAATGCCTGAACTTAAAAATTACTGTAAGCATTAAATTGAAAAAGGTGAACTTCCTTGATATAACATAACATTTAATGAATAATGTATACATATCTTATAAAAAACCGATTACTAATCCTTTGTATATACACCCTAAATCTAATCATCCTCCATCTATCATTAAGCATATACCTTTATCTATCGAAAAGAGAATAAGTACAAATTCAGCAAATGAGATTTTCTATCAACATATTAATTTCTATAATAAAGCTCTAAAAGATAGTGGCTATAAAAGCCCAAAACTAACTTATATAAAAAATGAAAATTGAAAGCATAGAAAAAACAGAAGTAGAAAAATAATTTGGTATACACCCCCATACATGGTAAAGAACTAAAGATAGTAAACTCAGTACTATTTTCAATAAAAATACCCTAAAATTAAGTTACAGCTGTACTGAAAACTTAGAAAAAATTATTAAGAAACAATGCTAATATCTTGAATAAATACTTAGACCAAGACCAAAGAAATTTAGACAGTATAATAATAAAAAGAGATGAAGATAAACAAAAATTATGTAACTGCAGAAATCCTGATAACTGTCCTCTTAATGATAAATGTTGTACTGAATCATTAGTATACTAATGCAATATCTCATCTATTGAGGATCCAGACAACATAAAAGTCTACACTGGATGCACAAAACATGAGTCCAAGAAACGGTTCAACCTACATCAAAGTTCCTTTAGGATAAATAAATACCAAAATCAATCCTTATCGAAATATTCCTGGCATTTAAAAGAAACCAATAAAACACCTGTGAAATGTAAATTAATAAGAAAAGCTAGAATACGTATGTCATTAAATGACTCATGACCTTTGTGCATAGATGAGAAACTATATATTACTAAGTTTATAAAAAATAAAAATTTACTTAATCAAAGAAACGAAATTGCTATTCTTTACCGACATTGTCAAAAATATTATATATATATATATATATATATATATATATATATATATATATAGTGTGTATGTGTTTTAGAGCCTTAATATAGTAAAATAGAGTCTTTAAATGGATTTGAAGATATGTTTTTAGTTCTTTGTGACACTATAAATCAAAGACTGCCGAATAGTTCTAGGCTTGGACAATTTCTCAAAATCTGACCAAATAGCCAAACATCAGAATCTTTTTGGGAAAGGTTTCTTGGTCAGGCTGATAACATCTTAGCCCTCCCTCATATATACACTACGTCAGCTGTTATGCAAATTAATGTTTCCATATAAAATTGGTCTTAACCAATGTTGGTAAAACTTTTCAGGATATATTGATACTTATAGGTAAATATATCAGGTGAATAATTATAATTCATACCATGTTTATGTAAGGTCATTCTACGAGTTATTTTTACTATAACCTGCCGCAGAGTAAGGTCAACTAAACTGAACCAGCTTTTCTGGTGAGGAAGGTGGCTAGAGACTCAGTAGGATTAAAATCCAAAGTGCAGGTAAACCTTCTTGTAGGGGTCAACAGTCGCCCAGTACTGTGGAGTAAGTAGACTGGGTTCCATCGCTATGGATGCATCCAGTGCAGTGGAGACATGGCAGAGGGCTTCCTAGACTAAAGTTAACAGGCAGGACAGTGAGTTCCTTCAATAGAATCAATGGCCACATGATGAGTGACTAAGATGAGCCTTCAAGTTGGAGGACATCAGTTGTAGTTTGATCTGGAGAGGGATGGGCTCCGCCAGGTCTACTCGCTCTACTTACACAAAACATGAGAGAAATCCTCTCTTGCTTTCAACCACGATACACAGAAGGAAATGATGATGACACCATGTGGATTTCAGATTTTATTATCTGTTTTGATTAGAAATATTTACAGTAATTTATTTGGTGATTTGATTATATAACTCAAGGATCATTCATTATATTGGTCAGGTTGAGAGCTTTTCAGCACCATCTTGTATGCAACTATTGAAATGAATGAAAGGATTTATTAAACAAGTTTGTGATATCACCAGTTACATAAACAGCATATAATATAATAATAATAATAAAAATGCATATAAATTAAAATACAAATAATAGAATGCATACACATCCCTCCATACAAAAACAGAAATAATCTGTTTTATTAGTGAACACATGCTATACCCCTACTAGTGGGCTAGCCAAACTAAAAGCCTGTTTAACATTTGACTCACATCAATTATTCTTGTTCATTTCTTAAGAGCTGATACATATAATTAACCAAGTCATAAAGTGCGAGGTCAGGTTCTTGAGGAGAGAGAAAATTGTCCATGATTTTCCTTGATCAGTTGTCCATTAAATTAATGGAAATTAGAAACCAAAATTAAATGTATCCATTTAATTGTTAAGATGAATAGTCATGAAAATGTTTATTTTAATGAGAGCCAACAAAAGGACTTATTGCTAACAACACAGTAACTTGCAAAAATAAATCCAATTTTCAATGGATTGTATACCAATGTAGAGGACATAGCTGGTATGTTCAGGTTAATGGGCTCCCAAATAGCAGCAAAAAGTAATGCTATTATGAACACAATATGGTAGCTTAATTTTTAGTTTTATATCCTGATTTATAGAGAAGAAAAAACATGAATACAATCATTTAGACTAAATCAATGCTGGTACAAGATCAGATTCATAGAGCCCTCAGTAAAAGATGAATTAAATGGTTTACAAGATGAGTTCATTAACTACTCTATAACAAGGATGCTTACTCTACTGTGTCTAATAAGTGGGTGGGGTCAAGTTGCATTTTTCATTTTTACTAGCTGCATCTATTCATTACAACCTTAACTAGTAACTTATTTTGATCTTTTTTATACTTCATGCTGACCCTCACCAAACTTATGCATTAATACAGAGACACTAGGTGTATCAACATATTTTATCCCCTCTCCCAAACTAAAAATTTGCTAGAATGTACCCCTGTTGACCCCAAGTTATATTATTATGGCATTTTTTTTTTTTTTTTTTTTGGAAAATCCTGTAAATGTTTTCTCACACAAAGATCAACATTCACCAAATGTGGGCTAGTACTAATTCTTTAGTGAGGGGTGAGGGCAAAATGTACCCTTTTTACCTTCTGTGTTCATTTCTGAAGTTAATATTTGGGATAAAGAGTTGAATGTAGAATTTTTTTAAATGCACATTTGCTATACAAGTTCCAATGAGAAATGTAGAATGCAGATTTTGGCATCACAACTATTTTTAATCTTTAATTTTAATTCTAAATTTAATATTTACTTAAATTTTAATTTTAAATTTAGTGTTTAATATTTACTATTCAATCATTATAGTAAATGAAAGTTTTGCCATATTTGTTCTACAAATCCTGCCTGTGATATCACAGGTGACTGAAACATGTACTCTATGATAGTAATCAATTAAAGAAAAGCCTTACCCATGCATATGGGATGGAGGGTAATTTTTTTTAGTTTTAATGAGGGAAGGATGGAATAATATGTAGTAATTTATCAAATAAAGTAAACTTCAGGATTAATTAAAAAATATTATTAAATTCTAAACATGAAATCAGGTAAAAATAGTTTTCAATAAGTCTCAATAAAAATTAGAAAACGACTCTTGAAATTTCCAAGCCAGGCAACTATATCACTGGCAATTTATTCATACAGTCCTAATCCTGCAAAATTATTTTAACTGATTTAACTTTCTTTTAGCCAACACAACGGCATATGAAAGAAATCCAAATGTTGCCAACAATGTGAAATAATGTCGGATTGCAAAGTAAATTGGATTGTGGCATTTTCAAAATGTGACTTTAGTTGAACAACTTTTAACAAATAAAAGCCATAAATAGTAAATATATTTAACTTCCATGTAAAGATGCAAATAAATCCATGAAAAATTATTTAAATGCTCCGAGTGTAATTGGTTCCAAAAATTATTTCAACAATTCTTTGTAAAGAATTTTTCTATAGGAATCCACTTGGAAATAATGTTGTTTATAGAAACACATTGGAAATGTGCCATTTACAATTTTCAGAAGAGCTATTATAATTCCAAGAGTTGTTCAGACAATTCAATTCATTCTTAATTTGTTTTTCACACATTTCAGCTACTAATTATGAAAAAAAAAAAGAAAAGAAAGAAAGTAACTCTCGTTCTTTCCTTATTGACTGTATACCAAAATATGATTATTATGGAATACATTGGCTGAAATGTGGCAGCAATAAAAACAAAAATAGAACAAATTCAATAATAACGTTATACCATACATATGGACTATAATGTCCCAATCATTATAAATACAGTGGAATATATACTGTATGTTGATTCAATGTGGAATTCACTTTTAGCTCACCAGTAGCAGTTGATTACTTACTACACGCCACTGGTGAATCTTGTATGCTGTTTCTGTTATAATTATTATCGTTCCATTTCCAACCTTCGTTTTGGTTATTCTTACTCAGTAACCTTTTCCTAGGTTACAACAAATGCAAACAATTTTTCTCTAATAGAAATTAAAATAGAATATTAGTAGAACAGTGGATAAGAATTGTTTTACTAGAGATACACTGTTTTTGATAGGATGTATTCAAGTGAGAGTATTGATTGATTGTGTTGTCTGTTTAATGGCATATCAACTCTTTATGAGTCATTTAATGGTGAAATTAAATTTTCTTGGAAGTTTGGAAGGAATAAAAATGTTATTCTGCTTTCACAATTGATTACATGGTAGATACTCTACTTTTGTGCATATCCGTTTGTGTGAACATAATTACTTGAGGCGGTTTTGTGTTGTTGAAGTTATATTTTAAAATACAGTTTGATTTAAGAAACTGTAGGATATTATATGGATTAATATTGGTTGGTTGATTTTGTTTACCGGCATATCAACATCTGCATGGGTTATTTAATGCCAAAATCTAAATATTTTATAGATAATTCTGTGCTTTCACAGTAAAGCTATGTTTTTTAGATATATAGTTTATAGATCATAAAATGTATTGATGGTAATTTTACTACAAAAATGCACTTCGATTTTTTCCCAGTGTTGCAATGATTGTCATTTTGCTATAAAAATGTATTGTTACTCATTTTATTATAAAAAAGTACTGTTGACTTTTGTCTGGCAGGGTTCACTATTTGCTTATAGCTGGGACTCAACAGGTGCTATACCCTGGATCAGGGTAGACCTAGGAACAATAGCAGTTAAGATGTGGCCCCATACTCCTTAAAACCTTCAATCTACTGATCAGAGGTCTTGCCGCCAGATGTAGTTGTGGTAGTAATATCCTGTTCACTATCTACAAGCAATGGACTCGCCCCAGTCGGCTATTTAACTTGTAACTCCTATTTTCCATTTTATAGCCGAGTTTTGTTTAGTTGAATAAAGCTTAGCACTTTTACTGTTGTCCTGAACTCTGTTTACGCTTGCAATTATTAGAGTAGTTTATCTTCACTAAATATAATTCAAGTGATAGTACTCATGTTAACTGTTAGTATAAATTTCAAATTATCCTTATTAGATTCTTCTGGAATGCAGCCCTATACCAAAAGGCTGAATCTGACAGAGTGCTTTTAGAGTACTGACCATATAATGGTCAGTTTTCTAGTCTCACAAGCCATTGAGATCAAGCTAGACTAAACAAATATAGATTCAAATGAGTTCAACTATATTATTTAATAAGTTCTTATTGCTTTTTGGTTTCTATCCTTCCTTAGATAATCAATTCTTTTGATCTTTTCAAGACCACAGCCATAAATTAATGGAGTAACTGAAACAATTTGGATATTCACATTCCACAATTCTTTCAGTTCTCCCACCGCCTCCATCCCGCAGCTTTTCAGTCTCCAACTTTCTGCATTGACAACAGCCACTAAGTAACAGATCTTGTTAACATAAACTAGATTTTGGTCTTCTGGTCTGGGTCTATGCATTACAAAGTCCCTGAGAATTTTAATTTTCTTTTATTCTCTAGATTGGATTCCATTTTTGTGCTTGTACCAAAACCACATCATTTGCTCAATTCCTTGTAAATAACTTATCCTACCTGATCAGGTCTACTTTAAGGCACTTTATAAGTCATACTTAATATATTCTTTTATTTATTGATCTTCATCTGTCTCCATGCAGAGGTGACAGAGAAGGAAAAAAAAAAAAAAAAAAAAAAGAAAAAAAGGAAAGAAAAGAACTTACCGTGGTATATCAGATTTATCATGTAAAAGTCTTTCTAAATAAGCAAATCCAAAAGCTCTATAAAAACAGTTTCCATCACCCCGGGTTTTCCTGATATCTCTGTATCGAGATCTGAGATCCTTTAAAGAAAAACTCAAAATAATTAAGAAAAATGGTATAAAAAGTAAAGTATCAGCAATACATTAATGCACCCCCCCACCATCACAAAAAAAAAAAAAAAAAATTTTTTTCCTGGTGCTTAAAATATTTCAATATTTTTCACATTTACTTTTGTTTTTCTTTTGCATACATGAAATGCTACTCAAAAGATCAGGGAAATTAAACAGATTCAATAATCTGTCTATATTTCTGAGATGAAGTATTATGTATACTATTTACATTATTCGGACTATTGTCCTCATCTTTATTGCCATATTTATTATGTTTCAGCCATTGTACACTCCAGCCTTCTTCGGGTGGTTGGAATGTTGAACTGAACCCTTTATTTTGCTCACTGGGGTAGACTGTTCTAGTTACCTGGTTAAGGCAGTGGAGAACTTTCAGGGGGAAATTAACAGGAGATAACTGACATCCATTAAACATGGCACATGGAACTAGAACAGTCTACCTCAGTGAGTGAAATAAAGGGTTCAGTTCAACATTCCAACCACCTCAAGAAGGCCAGAGCATACAACAGCTGAAATGTTGTAATGGTGACAAAGATGAGGACAATAGTTCGAATAATGTAAATAGTGTACATAATACCTCATCTCAGAAATATAGACAGATACTGAAATGCCGAAATGTTGTAATAAATATGGCAACAAAGATGAGGTCAATAGTCTGAATAATGTAAATAATGTAGATTCAATAATCTGCTCATCTATTATGCTACCCAGAGTTTCCCCATATTCCACATCACTCAAAATAAATCCCTAAACCAGAAAGTGACCAGGCTGTTTTGCATAAGTTCTTTCAATTTGGTGGGAGCACTTCATGTAAGTGTTCAGATTTTAACCAATCATCATTTCAAATCCAAAAAAATATGAAATTAATCTTTTTTTTTTAATTTATTTTTATTTACAGTATCATAGATTCATCTTAACCAATGGCAAAACTGACCCTAATTTAGAATGGTTCAAAAACAATGATGCCTAACTGTGCAAGGAATGGTTAAAATTGTAAGTCTTAGAAAAAAAAAAAAACATTTGACCAGATTATACAGTTGTTTGTCTTTAACTTGAAATGCATTTATTTCTTTAACAGCAAGACAATCAGAAACTGAGAGAATGCCAATCCCATGTACATTTTGGAGGGTCTCTCTTAGGTTAGATTGACTGCAGTAAAAACATCAACTAGAACAGAATGTGTGAATCATTATTATTAATTAAAGCATTTTAACTAGTTTTAAGTCTATTTTACTATTGTTTTTTTTTTTTAAATTATAGTATATTAGATTGTTACCCTTGTCTGCTGCAGTTTTAATGGATATTGTCTTAACCATTTTAGTCATGTAAAGTTCAATGATTAAACAGAGTACTAATTTGGCTATTTCTCCTTTCTCTACAACTTTTTCATTTTACAACCTATGACTAGCAAATGTAACTGATTTCATTTTTTTTTTTCAATGAAGCAGAGTGTTTTGAGAAAAAGTAACCATGACAGGCTGCAACAATAAAATATCCTACATTTCACACAGCTATTAGTGTTGTGTTAGTGAAACTAGGCAGGTGTTAATGGTATCTTTTTGAAGCTAATATTTCACTATTTTTAGTCTTCCTTATGTAACTATATCCTTCTGAATATACCTGCAAATGCTGTTCTCTTTACAGGTAACAACACCCACTTTCATCTTTCTAGCTGTGTCAATAGGCAGCATTTTCACTACTGGGTGGCAAACAATATCAAAAAAGCTTCACAAAAGACCCTTATAAAGAGAACACAATGTTGCAAATGTTGGTGTTTGGTACCCTTACTTTTTTGATGGTGACAATGATTGACCGGTTTCAATAAATTCTGATTTGTAAGTGGAGATATCATGAAATTCTCTGGAACCAAAACTCACAGACTTTGGTAATTCAGATGCATGGTTTCAACAGAGTAGAACCATGTGAGAAGATCAATGGTTTTGAGAGAGCCATTACCAGGACATGTGATCTCCTTACATGGTGACATTGGATGACCTCGCATGCCTATCTCACCCCCACTAATTACTTTCTCTGGAGTTACCGGAAAGCTGAAGTCTACAAACATTGACCAACAATAATTGATGAATTGAAGACTGCAATATGCCAAACAATTACAGAAACAATGATGAAAAGGATTCATCACAAAAGGGAACAATTCAGAAATCATATGATGTTTTCTACTGACATGAAGTGGAACGATTATATTGAATCAATTGCTAGATTTGCTGCTAGGAAATTTGATTCACTGTGTCATGCTAGACAATTTTTCTCACCAGAATCTATCTTATACATTTATAAGTCTTCCATTTGTCCATGCATTGAATACTGTCACATTTGATCTGGTGCTTTGGTTATGTATTTATAGATTATTGACAAAATCCAAAAGAATCTGTGAGGTTATTGGTCCTGACCTAGCACCTCAGCTCCAGTCACTTTCCCACAGGTGTAATGTAACTTTCCTGTGCCTTTTTATAAATATTTCAATGGTAATTATTCTAATGAGCTTTTCTGTTTGGTAAGTTGACTTTATGAATTTAAGCGCAGTACTAGATTGGCGGCAAGGTCTCATCATTTTACAGTTGAAATAGCCGGATGGAAACATAATTTCTAATTTTAGCAGTTTCTTCTCTTGCATTCTTCGCTTGTGGAAATCTCTTCCAGTTTCTTGCTTTCCAATCTTTGATCTTCAAAAATTTAAATGCAATGTCAATTGTCATATTCTATCTCCTTAATTCCTGTTCTTTTATTATTCTCTCTCCTTAATAATGTTTTGTTTTTTCTCAGATTCTTTCACACTCAGTAACCCCTTGGCACCTTAGCAGCTTTATAGCCTTGCTTAAAGAGAAATTATTAAAAAAAAAAAATGTATTAAATATAAATGCCACAATTTTGAAAATATCATTTTTTAACATCTCTCCTGATGACCCCAGTTTAAATATAAATTCGAGAGGAACATATCAAAATTCAGTGAAGTCATATGCCGTAGAGAAGCTCAGTGGAAGTGTCATTGGCATGAGGAGCATTACACATTCAGCTCACTTCAGGTGAGTTTCAATTACTTTCCAGTAATTTCCTTCTTCTTAAACAGTAAATGAAAATAACTGTCTACAGTTATTTTATCAAGTAAATATTTTTTGCAACTTATAAAATGTGGGAGGTTTTATTGATGCACTTCATAGTAATAAAATAATAATAATAATGATGAATGTATTAACCTTGAGAGTTGGGATAAAAAGCAATAAGATGGAATAAAAACTAGTAATAAATTAATCATTGTGACAAGCATGAGATCATCACAATAGAATGAAATTAACAAGTTTGTGCAAAATTCTTTACTATTAGTCTTTCTAAAACTTGGAAAAAAAAAAAAAAAAAAAAAAAAAAAAGTTGACATAAATTTCTAAACAAAGGTGTCAAGTGTAGCCCACCTGTATTTTTTGCTGATATATATTATCTTCCATAGAATAGTCTTTGATTAATTGGTTGAGTGAAAGACGCTCACTCACAAGAGCCTGAGTACTGGCAACCTGGAAGAAAAGAAAAGTGAAAGGGTCTATGAGAATCTATACAAGATTAAGGACCATTTTATTTTAATATTAATAAGTGAATGATGATGAGGATTATTATTATTATTATTATTTCTTATCACGCAAAATGGTTCTTTTGTCACGAATCCACTAACTGAAGAGTAGGACTTCTTCCTTGTATCTTTGTAGGAATCAACAATAAGAATTAATGTTACTATATAATAGTCTTAAGTTGTACAGATTTCTTCGATGAAGTATTGCCAGTCATTAATTCTTTCATTTCAATTTTATTCCTTTATATTCCTTTATAAAAAACATAATAGTCTTAAGTTAAACAAATTTCTTAGATAAATCATTGTTGCTTATTTTTGACTAGCTTTCCTTTCCATCTCATTTTTGTTGCTTTTTTTTTTTTTTTTTTTTATTCCAAAAGCTCAGATTGTTTTTGTATTTTACAACAATTAAGTCAATGGGATGAAGAGGATATGAAGTAGTTTCTGACAATATCTGAACTTTTATTATGTTTCATTGGGAACCTGTCTGACATGAACAGTATCTTAAAACACTTGAAGTGCAATAGAAACTAATGAGCAGATGTATTTCTATAAGTCAATAAATGTTCAAGCAACTTATCACTTGATTGACTCCAGAGTTTCATGTAATACCACACATCAGGGTCAAGAGATAAGTTGCTCAAATTAATTTAATGATGATGGTCATTCTTGTCATCTATTGGATATTTAAGAAAAATTCTGCTGGCATTAAAATGTTAAAATCTGATAATTTTTTAAATATTTCATTAGATCTTATTGATTTGTAGTTCATATATCTAATTTCCTATCTGGTTTAACTCATGCCATCATATTGTGTTTCCACATAATAGTAGCAGATTTAGTAGTCTTAAGTTGCATATTCATTAATTTTTTACATATTTCTTTTTAATTCTACTTTTGTTGCTTTTTCCACAAAACTAGTTTTACATTCTACAACCATTAAATAGTGTGGATCAGAAATAAAAGATCTCACAAGAATTTTTTTGTTAAAAAAACCCAAAAAAACCTGAGCATTGCAATAAAAAATGTCGAAGATATAATGAAAAAAAACCTAAATTTTGATAACTTAAGGCTATCATATCTATTTCTACATATGATAAATTGTAAAGTATCAAAAATAAGTAGGAAGGAAAACCTGTCAGAATGACAATATTTTCTCTAAGAAATTTGGACAACTTAATGTCATATTATAGATATCATTATGGTATTCAATCAAAGACTAAAGTAAACATGACAACTTTAAAATTTTTTCAAAGAATCTGAAATTAAAATCTATGTTGTTACATCAATAAGTCTATAGCCTAATGCATTTAGAACTTCATTCAGTAGTAAATATTAACCACATATCAAACATTATAAAATGAAACTCAGATCAAAATCTAGATAACAACTCCATGTTAGGCTGTCATCACTTCTTGATGCAACCCCGTATGTCGAGAATTAATAAAATTGTGACTTAACTTAGGTATTTACACATACGCTCTTGAAATATTATAATTTGAAGATTTTCACTGCAGAAGGCCAACTGTGAATATTGATTGATTGTTTTCTATGGCTTATCAACCCTTTGCAGGTTATTTAAAGCCAGAAAATACTTTTAGATTGTAAGAATTGATTTTTTTTTTTTGAGGCTTATTAATTAGAAAGCTGGGGAGAGAAGAGATAGATTCATATCTTTCCTAAGGATATTTGCATATAAGTGAATATAATAAACTCAACTGGAATTGGAACTTGGTTGTCCGATTAACAATTCCGAGCCATTACACCACCTGCACATCCAAGCTCACAGCACCTGGTATTTCCAAGCGGTCAACCATCTCGGTACTCAAAGTTGATTAACTTTGGTGATCGTAGGGGAACCGGTGTTTCAACATGATATGGCCATGAGCCTAACTGAATATCAAACTCAATATTAATAGATAGCAAAAACAATAAACTATGTCATAACTGGAGATTTTCGTTTAACTTTTTCCGTTTACAAATAGTAAATGATCTTCCAGAAACACAAGTTAAAGATCAGAGTCACCTACCTCTTGTTCAATATGACGCTGTTGTTCCAATGTTTGTTCATCATAATTTTTTTCTATTAAAATAAAAAACACAAAGAAGAAAAAAAGAAAAATCAAGCATCATCACTAAAATAACGAGCACATAAATTTAAAAAAAAAAAAAAAAAATAATGAAAGATTTGTTCCTGAAAAATTAGTTTCTTTAATCCTGTGTTAGTCACATCATGGTTTATTACCCAAAATTTTTGTAAGTACTTGTAAGTTCTAGTTGGCAATTAGTTTCTTTTGCTACCTTTTACTACTCTCCTGACTCAATAAGAGTGTGTAGCATACGTTGTGGTAAAGTTGTAGCTCAGTTACTGTGGGAGGTAGATATTACTTTGTCTTCTTCGGGATGTCTTGTCACACTACATTAAGTTTTTATGATACATTTTTCTTTTTTTTACACATCCTGTTGTATGAAGGTCAAGCAGCTCAGTTCCTATGAACCGACAGCCCAGACTGTAGGAAAAAGAAGAGAGAAAAACAAAAAAGTAACGAGAGGGTTCGCCGGCAAACCAGCCGTTATTCTTCGCCGTCGGTCGGCTCAAAGAAATGAATTGCGAGATTCCTTTTTTCGGCCGTTATACCAGGCAGTGGTGAAACGGACATCCAAAACAAATGTGCCTACTTTAACCGCCTCTGGGTCTGCCAGTCTATTCACACGTCTGCCGTGCCGCTGGCACCTTGCCTTTTTTATGCTAGTCTGACACTGGTGAAAGTTGCATGTGTACTGGTACAATCTCATTTTGGATGAGACCGGCACGTATAAATCGCGTCTTTGACAGTAGCCATGTTTTCTTTGGGATTTATCATGCAAGCAAGACACGTTCGCACATGTTTCGAGCTCCGAGGTAAGTCATCACACAGACACCAGCACATATAATTTGATTATAGTGGTAAAGGCTTTGTGCAGAACCAACCACACTTTTTGAAGGGCCAAATACAGAGACCTGGTGCACTACATGTCACAAGGTCCCCAAACGACCCTCTGCAGGTTTTGAATTCAGAGTTGTCCTTCTCCTAGACCAGTTGCTATCCAAGGCTATAAAACCTAGCCTATCCTGTTATTTACCCATAGCTGGAGGGAGAAGAAGAGGATTCATACCTTTCCCAAGGGTATTAGCACATAAGTGAATGTAATGGATTCGACTGGAATTCGAACTTGGCTCTATGATTCCTGAATCAGAGCTGCCATCCACTACTCCACTGTGCCTGATTTTAAATTCTCCTCAGACAGAACCATGATCGTTAGCTTTGAAAATGTCCTCTCACACTGGACTTGAGTAACTGATAATGTACAAATGATTTTATAAAGTTCTTATTCCTTTTTATTACTAAAACAGTTGTCCGTTATTTATGGTATTTTTATTTGATACAGTGAGCCCACTTGTCATCAAGCAAACTGACACCCTGGCTAGTCCACCATTTCAAACAATCCTAATACTTAAAACTATTTGCATAATTAGAGGGTCGTAAGTGTATGACTGAATTACTAATTTACCCAGACCATTAAAAAATGACAACGTATATGAAATTCATATTTTGTCAAATCCTTATTATTATTAGGCCTTTCATTTTTAATACCTGCCTCATCAGATCAAAATTACAAAATGGTTTAAATTTATCCAGACAATATGTTAGGTACCATAGCAAAGAGCTCATTTGAACAATTACCATGAAAGTAGTTATAAAAAAAATGTAAGGTTGCCTTTCTATGTCTTTTCTATAAATACTTTCATGGTAATTGTTCGAATAAGCTCTTTACTATGGTACCTAGAGTTTTTGAATTTAATTGAGAGCACTAAACTGACGTTGAGATCTCATCAGTTTACAGCTGAGCTGTAGCCATTAATTCTATGCAAATAGTGTCTTCTATTGCACTTCTTGCTTGTGGAACTCCCTTCTGGCTTCATGTTTTTTGGGCTGACTTTAATCTAGAAAAATTTAAATGCAATGTCAATTGCTATCTACTGTCCACCTGATTTCTGTTCCTAATTCTTCTACACTCTGTAACCTCTTGTGTTTTAATGGCATTACTGCCTCGTTTGGGGTGATTCCAATTATATATATATATATATATATATATATATATATATATATATATATGAGAGAGAGAGAGAGGGGGGTGCATGTGTGTGTTATTATGTGATTGATGTTGGTTTGGTAAATCTGGGACCAAAGGTGTTGGGGGTGGAGTAAAAAAAAAAAAAGCTGGGCAGCTGTAATTCTTCTTAAAGCAACCGTGAAAAAGACAAATAAACAAAATAACAAGTAGCCAAATAAAAGACCTTAAGTTACAAACTGTCTTTTCTTTCTCTTAACAACTAAGTTGGTTTCATCAGCAGTAAAGAGAAGTATATATAAAAAAAAAAAAATTCAGAACTAAAAGTGTACAGTGATTGAAAACATGTATAGGCCTGAAGGCAAGATTAACAAACTGTATTTGGAATTAAGGCCAGAGAATTAATTTTTTTTACTCTCCCAGCTTTGATCTACAAACAGTATATAAGACAAAAATTAAAAAAAATAATGTCAAGTAGCTAACAGAGAGATAAACCAACCACAACCAGGTAAACCTGCCTTATTCATTCAAATCAGTTGGTATATTTTTTTGTTGACGCTAACAACTAAATTTTTAGTAATAGTTAAGATTGCTTGCTTTAAAATGCTATAAAAATCTTTTTAATGTGGTAATGTTCATGTTTATGGAAATTACCCGGCTCGAGTGATGTTTGTCCAGAGGTGTTGGTACAATCACCTGACTCTACCCTGTTAGTGCAATGGGGAGGTACTGCCTGGAAGAGAGGTCTCCTAAGAACCAGGCTTTCATTCATTATTAAAGGATCATAAACACAGACAGACAGAGCAAATATATACATATTTCTAAGTTATAAAAAAAGAAATTGCTACAACTATTACTAGTTTTAATGAAACTGCTGCACTGGTGCCTTCGTAGCAATTAGAAATTAAAAATAACTGGCCTAGATCAAGAAGTCCTACTAAAGAAAAATGTGCCACTCAGCAAAAATCAAAACTGTATCCATTTTACCATCAGGCAAACTGTACAACAAGTGAAACCTACTGGCAAAGATTTTTCGATTAGGCAAATATACATCATGCTCTGGGGTGGAGTTGTAAAAGAAAAAAAAATCTTAACAGCAGGAGTTTTCTATTCACTGATTCTTTGAGTCAACATGCAATAACAATAATTAGCTCATTGTGCATTTCCCTGAAACTGGAATAATAAAAAAAAGTCACTTATTGAAATCCTAAAAGAATAAATAAATTTAAATAGAGAGAAAAAAAAAAAAAAAAAAAAAAAAAAAAAAATCGCTGAAAGCAAAATTATTTATACTAGTGTGGCAGAAATACCTCCCACACAATGGTAAGACATTAGCTCAATGATGACACCATGGATACTAATGTCTTAACCATTATGTGGGAGGGCTTTCTATTGCACCCTGTATTATTGTGTGTGTGTGTATATATATATATATATATATATATATATATATATATATATATATAACCATTATCCTTTTCTACCAACAGAGTATTTTATCTGCCCAATAATTGGCTCTTTTAGAGCTGGAATCAGCTATGCTTTCTGACTGAGAAACCTATATAATATTAAGTGAGAAGGAATTGAGAAAAATGAAGATAAGAAAGTTTGAGAAAAAGGGGGGGGAGTGAAAGGAAAAAATATACTTTCTAGAATTTGACCAAATATAATTTTGGAAGGCAGCATCAATTTTTGATGAGGTCAAGAACTTTTCAGCACTTCCTCATATATCTAAAAGAAGAACAGAGAAAACGAAACAGGTTTTCTGGCTGAATATAAAAAGACAATCAGTGAATGGGGTATAATATAACTAAAATGTCAAAGTTGACAGCAGAAGAAGTCTAAAATCTTATCAAATCCAAACAAAGATTGGAATAGTTTTGTATAAATATATTATAACAAAACAGTGTATATAATGTTGGGCTAAGCAAGTAAAAGATAAAAAAAAAAATGGTGGGATTTGTATCTGCCTTAAAAATAACATTATTCAAAGATTAAATATTTGGGTGAAAAGAAAAATGGAGTTTGTCTTGAATAATTTTCTTGCAAGTGAAACATCATGCAAATCTTTTGTTTTAAATAGTACATTCCATAATTATCTACGATCTTCTTCCCCAATCCTATGACCAGGTGTGGTCGTAAAGTTGCTGCACAGCTTAGCACCTAATCAGTTCTCTTCATGTTTTGGTTTGCATGCCAATGTCTGAGTCTCTGTGAATGATCTTCCAGTCCACTGAGTGACACTGTCAGCTCATTTTTTTCTTGCATTTGCCTCTACTTTTGCCTAAGGTGGTACTTTGTAGGATGGTAGAGGAAACATTGTTGGCTCTTATGTTACCAATTTCAGGTTTCTCTTCTTGATGGTAGATATGAAGTCTTCCAATTGGCCTGTTAGAAGGCCACAATACCAATTTTGTATCATTTGCAGTAATAGTGTTAAAAAATAAAAGCCTTCCCTTTGCATTTTTTAGAGTTCTTCCCTGAGAAGAAGACCTATGAATGCTTAAACTTTTCAACTTTGGCAGAAATTTCTGTCATTTATAGTTGGGACATAGAACAGTGGAATTGGAATGACCAAAGTTCTTGTCATCTATATTAATGGGTTAAATATCTAACAGCAATTAGATCTGCTTGGTTTGATTTTATGGTCTGTCAACCCATTTAGGGTTATTTGAAGCTGAAACATTTTCAATTGCAAGATTAATTCTTTTTTTTGTGAGTGAATATAGCATTAACAATTTCTTGAGAATAATAATTTTTCCAGATGCACGTCCTACTATTTAACCAATAGTTGGGGCTAGGAGATGGATTCATACCTTTCGCAAAGGTATCTGTGCATAAGTGAATGTAATGAATCCAACTGGAATTTGAACTTGGCTCTGATTTCTCATTCCGAGCTGCTATCCAACATGCTATCTGAATATCCATGGATCTACTTGGCGCACAGTGTTCTTTACAGATAGTATAGAA